GAATCGGAACGACTGAACGCAGCCGACTGCGACGCAGCCGAACCGACCGAACCGCGAACACCCTGGGCCTCCGATGCCTGGATGGACGAAGGGCGCGAATGCTGGCTCCGAGCCATCACGAGCCGTGCACGGGCCATTCTGGCGAAAGGTCCTTCTGAAGTGTGGCTGAGGTTTCTCTCTCTCTCTCTCTTTTTCTGTTTTCCCCCGTCCCCCCCCGTCAGCCTCCAGGAAATCGCTGACGGCGTCCGAGGGGACACCCCTGGCGATCCTTGTCGTCTGGCTCCCGGGTCATGCGGTCGGGAAGTGTTGCTCAGCGTGTCGCGGCGGCGGCCCGGGCGACACACTGCACCCTGCGAGCTGATAGCGCGTCGCTCCGTTCAGCAGGATGGGATGCTGGCAAAGGCTCTGAACGTGATGCCTGGGGCTTGCGCGAAGTGCACAGCGTGTCGCGCCGCAGCGTGGTGGACCAGAACTGGCTGGCGGCGCGACACGCTGAGCTAAAACTTCCGACCGTAACTCGGGCCTTCCTGCGGCCAGAACGCTCTCGACGAGAAGCAGCTGATGGAAGCCACCCCGAGTCCCCAACAAAAATCGGCGGCGAGCGAGGGGGGGAAGTGAGAAGGAGGAGGCCTTTTTCAGAAGGCGCGGAAGCCCCCTGGCCTTCTGAAAAATGTCCTCCACCTTCCACAGGAGACACGGAACACCTCCCAGAAGGCGCGAGGGCTTCTGAAGAGGCCCGCCACCTTCTGAGAAGGCCTTCTCCTTCTCACTTCCCCCCCTCGCTCGCCGCCGAAAGTCCGACTGAAACGTTGCCCCTGACCTCCACCCTGCGGGGGGGGGGGCGGAGAAGCCACCCGGGGCGAGCCTGCGGGGTCCACGGCACCCGTCGCCCGCGCCGCGCCGGCCTGGCCCAGGGGGCAGGGCCGACGGCGCCGATGGATGCGGCAGCGCCAGCGGCAGCGGCAGCGGCAACGACATCATCATCACTCGGCACTCGGCACTCGGAACGGTGACACCAGGGCCCTGGCCGATGGAATGACGATGATGGTGATGGTGGTGGTGGTGATGATGATGGTGGTGGTGATGATGATGATGATGATGATGATGATGATGATGATGATGATGATGATGATGATGATGATGATGATGATGATGATGATGATGTTGATGATGATGATGATGATGATGATGATGATGCTCATGCTGATGCTGATGATGATGATGTTGATGATGATGATGATGATGATGATGATGATGATGATGATGATGATGATGATGATGATGACGACACGCTCTTAAAGACGGGTTCCCGAGATCCACACGACTCAGAAGCGCCACCACCAGCCGTCACATCGACCGTAGGTGGGGAAGAAAAAAGATCTGGCGAAAGGGAAACAAATAGCAAAGAGAAGAACCCAGAATGATAAGCTGAACCCAGCTTGCGGAGATATCGATTTGAAAAGCGGTAGTGTGCGGAAAAGGGCTGGCGAAATCGAGCAACGATTCCCCAAGGACAGGGCGGCCTGCTGTTTGGCGAATTCGGTCATCTGTAGGTACACCCAGCTGCCCCCCTTCCCCCCGTCCTGAGGTTTTTCCTTTCTGAGCACCCATGTCCGCGAGTCTCCAGCGCAGCCATTCCTCGGAGTAGGTCTGCCATTCCTCGAGCTGCAAGGCATACTGGTGCCAGTCGCGCGTGGCGAAAAACTGGTAAAACTGCTTCTCCCACCGCAATGCATGGAAGTTCCTCCGGTGGCCCTGGGATCCAATGACGCCCTCACGGTGTTTCAAATACTTGAAGCTCTTGTTGGGGAAAGCCTGTGAAGCCAGCGTCGTGCATCATAAGAGCTCATACGAACCAGGTGGCCCGCCCAAGAATGGTTAAGCAGCAAAATCTAATGGTCCCAGGTACGGGAATCGTGATCCTGGAAGGTTTTTGTTGGACGCGACGGTGGACCTCTCTCACGTACTCGGAAATATCCTCTTGGTCGCGCCCAGGGATCTTGAACTTATATCGAACCATTATACTCTGAATGGCCTTGATTTGGCTCAGATGCTGGCGGGTGAGAAGGAGGGTACCGAAACAATGGAACGCTGCGGCCCGCAGTCCTGTCGAGCGCTAGCCTTTGTCGTAGACGGGCCCTTTGTACGCAAAGTGACGCACGGTTCTTGGTGAAGGTAGACCACGCACGGAGCTCGCACTGCCGTCAAAGGAGACATGGGCGCCCGACATATTGATACCTGTACTTCGGGGGATTCGTTCCAGAGTACATTCGGGGAGCTGTACTTTCATCTGGCTGGTGGCAGACGCCGCGGTGATCCAATAGCACTCGTCGTGCCGGACCACTACCGCGTACTTACTGATGATGTCGTGACATGCCGTCATCATCTGAATCAACATGGCCACCGAGGTAGCAGAGATAAAACAGTTGTCGGCAAACAGAAGCAGGCTGAGGTGATCCACCTTGAGCTCGTTCCCTCTCCGCTCGTTCTGTCTCATGACCTCCAAGTCTTCCTCCTGTAGTGGATATCCCCACCCCTCCGATACACGTCTAGCTTCTAAATCACGCACAGCACCATCTGCGTAAAGAGAAAACTGATAGGGAGCCTCTGGATCTCCTTGCAGCAATGAGCGGGTCCTAGGTACAGCCCGTGTCGCAGGCAGTCCTGGTAGGAGTAGCCCAGGGGCGCCCCCACGGATCTCTCGGAGCCAGGCCGCGGTGATGATCTTACGGATCCCCCTCCTGCGATGGTTTCTGATGATCTTCATATGGGGAACGTGGTCGTAGGCTTTGTGGAAGTCCATGGTTCCCATGTAGAAACGTTACTGGTGCTCTTTCGCTTTATCGATCAAAACTCTCGTTGACGCTACGACCTCGTGGACCTGGAAGCCCCTGAAAGCGAACTGGGCAGCTGAGAGCTCACAGTCGTGGAAATCGATGAGAGCTCCCACGCACATCGAATACAATTTCAGGATGCAAAAGAGGGCCATCGGTCGGAAGTCCGTGACTCGACAGGCTCCCTGGAACTTGGCTGTTAGCGTGACTTGGTGCCGTGCAAAAACGCGGTCATTCTGCTCATTGGGGTGCCTAATGAGGCGCAGCAAGAAAATCTGGCTCAGCAAGTCAAGCGTGTCGTTACTCAAGTTTTGAATCATCCCCCTACCACGCAATCGTTTCTCGAGCATGAGTTGCCTCGCTTCATCCTAGACAGACAGGAGCGGAGGAGTGCAGCGCTCAACTTGCGCGGGAGGTTCGCCGCGTCCTCCCGTGACCACTGCTGCCACTCCCATGACGGGAGTTGGCCGTCTCTGACACCATCGGTGAAAAAGGACCTCGTAAAACGTCTCCAACTCCTCCCTCATCTCGTCAACGTCCGTGATAAGCTCCCCGCTCGTCGTCTTCAAAGCTTTGACCACACCTCGTCGATAACAACTATCCACCCGTCCTTGCTTCAGTAGGTAAGAGATGTTTCCATGATGCTTCTTAGCTTGAAGCTTGTGTTGGAGACCCACGAGGTGAACTCCCAAGGCATGACGGAGGCTAGGGTCGGGTTCAGTCTCTGGCGTTCGTGGCTTCCTGAATTTGATGCTGAAGAGGGTGATCTCTGGGTAACCTCGAGTGTCCACTGGCCTTTGACTTCCCAGACGATGGCCACATCCGCAACCGTTCAGGCGAACTCCCCGAAGGTATGAACTTTGGCACCCTGACGGTCACGACGTATCAGGCTGCTCTCTGGTAGGGGTTGGTCTAGCTCGGCGCCCGCAGGTACAGGCGATCGCGTCCTGGGCTTCTCGAGCAGGTCCGCCCAATCACACCTGACGAGCAAAAAAGAGCTTCTGCGTCCTCGCGGCCGCCTCGCAGCCGCAGTGGTACAACAACTGCAGGTCCTCTATCGGCATGGTGATACTTCTCATCACGTCAGAAAACTCCTGCTTCTCCAGAGGACTCGTGGGGTAGGGGCGGACTTTCTTCCACTTGGACGCATGGATCGATTTCACGTCCCACCCCTCGTTTGCCAGTTGATCAGCGACCACATTTTCCCGAACACCGCTGTGTCCCCGTACCCAGGCACATATTCCTCGGAAACGCTTGAAAACCAGGCCCCAGATCCACTTCAGGAGCGAGGAAAGCACCACGTTGTGTTTCGGGTTCGACGTGCTCTCAAGGATTCCCACGACGTATGTGGAGTCGAAGACGATCTCGATCACGGAGCCTGGCTCGCTGAGGTTGTGTCTTGAGGGTTCGGTTGATCCTACGAGCCACAAGCCCGCCTCAATGGCGCTCAGCAGTGTTGGTGTGGTCTGGGAGAGGTCTGTGTGTACTGGCCCACAGGCTGCGAAAACGGGATCGAATTTGACTCGAGACGATTTCGAGTTCGGGACGATCCCTGGTGGATCCTCAAAGACAACAAAGCCCCAGCCGAATGTGTTCTTTGTTTTCGCGCGCTTCTCAAAGTGGCCGTCACAAAAAATCGAAGCTGACCCGATCGCTGCAACAGTTGGTTCGGCGGCGGCCCTCGATGTCAAGTCGATCCTGGACTTGGGCCCCAAAAGTGTGGTCTTCGAACAGCCAGCCGACAAGCTTCGACGGGAAGCGGTGCGGACAGGCTGGCGTGAAAACCAACGGCGTGCGTCGCTCGGCAAAAAACGTAAGACAATTGGGACGTGGTTCGACTTGACGGCCGTGGTCTCCCTAGTTAGCCTATGCGTCATAACTGGTCACGCTGAACAACGACGACAACGACGACGACGACGACGACGACGGCGGTGGCGGCGGCGGCGCGGGCGGCGGCGGCGGCGGCGTGCCTCCATCTCATGCTTCCGTCCTCGGTCCCAAACCACGCCCCATGTTTCCGTTCACTCCACTACCTACAGCCTCCCAACCCACCGCACTCCCCCTCGCCCCTTCGCCCTGAACTCCTTCGCCCGCTGTCTTCCGTTCGCCCCCACCACATTCAGCTCCAGAGCGAAAGGGGAAGAAGCAGGCGGCATGGAATCGAGACTGGAGCTCCGAACACTACACCGCCGAGCCAGATCGACCCGATGGGGCGGTTCCTTGGCATTAAGGACACGGTGAAGAAACGGGTCCTGGACCAGGAGGCCTTCTCGCAAAACCAGGTCTTCATCCTGAGTCGTTTTCTGACAGTCACCGGGCCCGCGGAGGGCCCCGGGAGGCAGAGAACGGCGAAAAACCTCAGGACCCGTTTCTCTCAGGATCCCATTCCTTCTTGGCGAGATTCCCGAACTGGACCGAGCTGGACCTACGGGAATGCCCGAGCTGGATCGATGCGTGAGGGCTCCGGGGGCCCGCTCGGGCTGCCACCCAGAGGCCAAGAGGCGCGCCGTGAGCTCTGGCCGACGGCGCGGCAGGGCCGCCCTTTGCCGTGGCGAGCCCCCTCGCCTCCCCCCAAGATGCGGGCAGGTGGTCGGAGGTGGGCGCGCGTGGAGCCCAGCCTTGAAGTCGGGCGTGTCCCCCTACAGGGGGATTTTCGACGAAAAATAAAAGATACTGAAACAAATATTCCAAAATTTGTTAAGAAATGCTCCAGAAAGAGTCCCCTGACTATTCTTTGACTAATTAAGAATATTACCCCTGTAGAGGGACAGGCCCGACTTAAGCCCAGCCGCGAGGCGATCCCGTCGCCCGGCTCGCTCCCGCTCCACGGGGGTGTCGCAACAAGGAGGGGCGCGGGGATCGCGCCAGTACACCGGCCCGCTCGCCGCTGGCCCTGCCTGCTGGCAACAACAGCCCCGCACCTCCTGCAGCACACAGGACGGCGGCGCCGGGAGCGTCTCATGGCCACTCTCCTCCTCCTCCTCCTCCTCCTCCTCCTCCTCCTCCTCCTCCTCCTCCTCCTCCTCCTCCTCCTCCTCCTCCTCCTAGCCCCCCGCGCCCAGGCTTTCCTGCACACGGGGCTGGTGTACATGCGGCCCCCCGCCAACCGTACCCGTGCGGAGCTGGCGGCCACCCCACTCGGCCAGCTCTCTTCACTCACTGTACTCTCAGTTGATGTGTTCTGCTTGCCGTGTTCTTGCTATGCTGACATTCGTGCATTGGAACTGTATGGCGGCAGACGAGGGCAGATTGCAAGATATTAGTGAGGAGATGCGCACTGTGGACATCATCGCACTCACAAGCACGTGCGAGCGGGCGGCACCTGACCAACCCACTGTGTTCACCACGCTGCGCTACCACTTCGCGCTCAGGTGCGGATACACACCAAGCAAGTTTGTCAATCGATCGTGTGGCATTACTCTTCTCCTCCGAAAGCGTGTCTATCGACGTCGCCACCTGGTTGACGTCCCTGCTGTGCCAGTCTCTCTCCGAGGACGTGTTGCGTTATTTCGACTGCGGTCTGGCCGCTTCGACATTCTCATCCCAGTGACCTACTTCCCTCCGAAGCCGTCGGGGAAGCGTGTGGGCCGCGAGAGCGATGACGGTCCGCAGCGACTGTACAGATTGACTGTCGACGCGATGATCTCGTGGCTTGAGAAGACTTTGACCTGGTCGTGCAAGCGGTCTGCCCTTCTGTGGGGCTTCGACATGAATGACTCGTTCGGCTGGCGTCGGAGGGCGGGCGGTGTGCAGGAAGCCGTCGTATCGCCCGCACTGGGCCCGCACAGGACGGGCGAGCAGAGGTATGCTGCTGATCGCGTCCTAGAAGTCATGGAGCGTCACGCTGTGGCGGTGACCTCGACGGACTTTCCCCTGGGGCCCAGCTACTACGGAGCCGTGGGATCGTCTCAGATTGATTTCGTGGCTATTTTTTCCTGGCAGGAGAGCATGGTTGACCGCTGCCTGGCGATGCGCTCGTCCAACTTGCGACTGAAGCTGGTCAAGAAACACGGGCTTCAAGATCATGTGCCCATTCTTTTACGCCTGAACTACGCGTTTGACATGGCGGCATCTAAGCACGGCACGCAGTGGGACTTCGACAGACTGGGGGAAGCTCTTCGTCGAGGCACAGGAGCGGGCGCCTTCGTCGCGGACCTGGAGGCGCAGTTCGAGGGCGTGGACTTCCATGAGTTACTGCTCCACGCCCCCACCCCCGACCTTGGTTGGGAGAGATGGATGACTACTGTGTTCGAGGTCGCGGACAGGCACTTCTCACGCGCTGCCGCTGCTGATCCTCAGGCGGCTGAGCATGCTCGAGAGCGGAGTCGCCTCCTCGAGGCGCGACGCTCGGCCAGGGCCAACGGCGACGACGACTTCGCGACGTCCATGAAGTTGGCTCGGCTCTCTCGTCATCTTCGCCAGTTGCGGAGGGCCCGCCAGGCAACCGTGACTGAGCAGCTGGTGTCGGAGATCGGTTCGGCCTGGGAAAAACGACAGCATGCTGAAGTCTGGAGGCTGGCCCATGTACGTGCTGCTAAATGCGGAGGCCCCAAACGTAGGCGGTGCAACACAGTCGACGAGTTCGTTCCGAAGATCGCAGAGATTCGGGAGCACTTCGCCAAACCCGGGCCCCAGGGAGGTTTCGAGGCCGTGCCGATCGAGTTTC